AAATCGATAGCGATGAGCCCTGGCCCCATAAATCGCCTTCCTCGAGGCCGGCCGTCCTCCATCCATCACCGCGGGCCGAATTGCGCCTCGTTTGGCTGTCCGCACAGGCTGCGCTTAGCGGCCGTGCCCACCAGTTCCCGACCCTGGGGGACTCGTTCCCGGTACAGACCCCGCCTGGCCTGGGTCCGGAGCCCCGGGAGCCGGCACGGTAGTCACGAAGCACAAGCGCTTTGAAGGCCCTAGGCCCCGGGCGCAGGTGTGGAGGCGGATTCGGATGCGCTAGCAGTTCAGTCCTAGCCCGCAGACACCCCGCAGGAGACGCTCGGCGTCTGCCCGGTGAAGGGCAAGAGAATCCCGGAACACCAGAGTATGCCACTGGCTCCCAGACCCTCGGCCGTAGGCTCCTTTCTCGAGGGCATGAGAGATGCGCAGAGCTTACAGTCCTGTTAGGGGATTCACAGGAAGAATCCTGAGATGGGAGCGCAGAGGTCGCGGGGCAAGGGAGCTACAAGCCCAGCACCCAGGCGGCCACGGATCTGAGAACGCGAAGGATGTTCACCGTAACCTGTCGTGCAAGACGGAGCACAAAGTACAACCCCCGGTGACCCCACAGAGAACCCCTCACCGATCCGTGTAGTCCGCAGAAACCAAAGCCTGGGGAGGGAGGCTCAGTCAGGTGGAGGGGGACCCGGAAAACAGCCAGGCGGCCCCAGCGGAGAGTTAGGCCCAAGGCGCCCCAAGCTGCGTCCCCAACAAGGTTGTCTCGCCAGCCGGGAGCTGAAGCTCCGGAGCCCTATGGACCCCTATGGACCCGAGCGCACGCACCGACGCTCCACGGCGCCGCCGGGGCTCGTGGGTCCTGGCTCGGCCGCATCCTTACCCGATCTGATGGAGTTGTGAGGCATCGCCAGGGAGTCGCGCTCAGCGTGTAGAGCACTTGGGGCTTTTTTACTCAGGTTCGGCCGCACTACGTCGCTATGCCGCTGCCCTGCACAGACCCAAGGAAGGGGCATGAGACTCAAGTCCCTTAACCTTAGACCATCTACCCAAACCCTGTCCCTTAGACTTCGATCGATCGCGTGCCAAGATTCGGGGAGGGTGAGGGGAAAGTAAGGCCAATCTCAGCCAGGCCTAACTCACTTATCAGACCGGAGGATCCGGGATTGGAGGCACTGAGGAAGCTCGGGACTCCAGTCCCGGTATCCTCTCCCTCCACTGTCCCAGCCTTCACCTATTTGACTTGGGAAGGAAAGGGTTGCCAGACTTCCCTGCACCCTCTCATTTCTTGAATTCCCACTTTTTTCCCCAGCCATCTAGTTCCTTGCTAACCCCTGGGTGGCATACCTGGCCGGCAGGACTCAGGCCTTCACTGCCTAGGTCCACCTGAGAGGGTGCCCTGGGCCGGGTGTCTCTCTTCTTTCTGAAGTTTGTTCCCATCCACTCGGCATCTCCGACCGGTTTTATCCCGCCAAGGCCCTGGGAGATGGGTCTGGTGAGGCTCTCAGGCCGCCGATTGGCTGGCTGGGTGCAGGGGGGTGCGGGAAGGGGAGGATTTTGCAAGGGGGACATGGCTGAGTGGACTCAGGAGTTAGAAACATTTGCTGGAGCTTCTGTTTCCAGCGGAGGGAAGAGAGGAAGGTAGCTGAGCCCTAACTCAGCCGTCCTGGAAATGCTGGAGGAGTGGGAGATAAAGGCCTAAGGTCTGAGGATTAGGCTCTCTGGAGCCTCTTGGGGTCGCTGACCACCAGAATAAGCAACATAGCTCCTCTATGACATCCATGGCTCTCAGCTCTCCCCTGATCTGCTCTCAGAGAACAAACCTTCATTTTTTAGGAAGGAACTTCTGTTTTGAAGCCCAGTTCTTTCAGTGGAAGCATGGTAATAGGATGCTCCCAACTTCTTCTAGGGCAGGCCCTTGCCCTTGAAATTGTTTTCTCTGGTCATATCCCAAACCATTGAAATTCCTCTTTGTGCAGGCAAACATGTCCAGCCACCTATCCTCTTCCTTGTTCCTTGAAAATTTTGAAGTTGGAAGAAAAGTTTGAGAGAAGAGCAGTGAGGGATTGCATTTCACCTCATCCTAGAAGGGCTTTAGAATTGACAGGTCTGTGTTGTCCTGTGGCCTTGGCTCTTGGAGCCAACATTTCTCATTGTGGGGTTTAGGTGAGGGTAAAAAGGTGTTCTTTAGGTAGACTGGAGAAGCTCTTTTCTCTGTGGAGGAGGGATTATGGGTATAGGGAAGAGTGTGAGCATGTGGAAGCAAATGTCCTGAAGTACTTATAAATCAATGGAGTAAGGCCCTGGCAGTACCCTAACCTCAGGCCAGATCTCTGGATTTAGGATTACTGCAGAGAAACAGCCTTAAAGGCTTCTGAGGGGCTGTGTTGCCTTGAGGGGCTGCTGAAGCATAGAGAGGCTAAGCTATTAGATGGAGAAGAAAGCAAGCAGAGGGGCCTAGGACAGGGTCCTTCCCTTCCCTTCCCTTTCCTTCCCTTCCCTTCCCTCCCTTTCTCTCTCCCCTCCCCTCCCCCCTCTTCCCTCTCCTCCCTTTGGCTCCCCTCTTCTCCCATCCCCTCCCCTTGCCTCCCCTCTCCTCCCTTCCCCTCCCCTCTACCCTTCTTGCCTCTCCTCTCTCTGTCTCTCTGTCTCTGTCTATGTCTCTGTCTGTCTGTCTGTCTCTCTCTCTGGCAGTAATTGTTTCATGAAAAGAATATATATGGTACTGAATGGAGCCTCCACATTTGTAAAGGTCTTTAAGTAAAATCAAGTGGTACTTTAGTATTTTAAATGTTTCTCCAAAATTGTTGTAAACTGCTGTGGTTTTGAAAGATTCAGATTCTTAGCTTCTTCCATTAGATTCCCCCATGGGAAAGAAGGCAGAAACTTATCAGGATGAAAGTGGATCTTGGCATCAGTCCTAAGGACCCTCACTCCCTAAGCCAATGTTCTTTCATGACCTCTGCCCTGACACTGAAGGGGAGCCAGTGGAATGATAGAGACTCTGTTCCCCTCTTACCAGAGAGGTAGTACTCTGAGCTGCTTCTAAGTTGTCTTGTTCAAAAGTTCTGAAAACCCACGAATTTCTACTCAAGCTAAGGACCTGACAGATTTCAATAATAATTGAAAGTCATATATCTATGCTGGTCAATGTTCTTTTTACTGACCAACAAAATAAATCTTCCTCCTACCTCCCCTGTTTGAGCAAAAGTTCTTAAAGGGAAATATCAGTAGATTAAACTTTTTGTCCCTGTTTGTGAACTCATTTGAAAAAAATCACTTTAATATAAAAACAAAGTACAGCTGAACAGGATTACTTCTCAAAGAAAAAACATCCAGGCACTCTGAGAAAACCCCTTCTGCAAGCTGCAGGTGACACAGCAGATAATAGGAGGACACTCAGCAAAATCATGTTCTAGAACCAGAAAGCAGTAAGAACACAGTCAGCTTCTGCTGCAGAGATAAACAAAATTACAATTGGAAATCAGGTCTGGTTTCCTAGATTCTTCCCGATTACTTGAGGCCAAGAACCATAGAAATGTCATCAGTCAGTACCCTAACTCAGCCTCTCTGATATTAGTTTCTTAACACATATCTTTTGGAAAATACATATATTTTGAGATATGTATCATATATCAAAATAATACATCTGTACATATATATGTGTGTGTTGAATATCTTTAATTAGTTTTACTTTAAGTTATAAAGACTTCAAGCTTTCCTTTGACTTTGATTTCAAAATGAATTTATTTCTTGTCTCAGTTCAGTGGGAAATTAAGATTTCACTTTTTAAAACCAGCACGCCCTTCAGTTTTTTTTTTTAGACTTGATTCATATAATGCTTCTTTGCCAAGATTATTGTTCAACAACCTGTGGTCTAAACCCACTTACTATTTTAAACTCTTTTTCTGAAAAAACTTTAATTCATTGCCCATATTAAAATGCAAAAGTAGAACAATATGAATAACTCAGGCTTGCCTTTAAAAAGTTGAAAAGTCTGGGGCTGGGAAGGTGGCTCAGTGGTAGAGCGCTTGCCTTACATGCCTGAGGCTCTGGGTTCAATTCTTCAGCACCACATAGGCAAAAAGAAAAAAGCCAGAAGTGGCGCTGTGGCTCAAGTGGTAGAACACTAGCCTTGAGATGAAGAGCTGAGGGACAGCGCCCAGGCCCAGAGTTCAGGCCCCATGACCGGATTCCTCCCCCCCAAAAAGAATGTCACAGAATGTTCTATGGGTCTCTCTACCTCAGACCTAGATATTGCAGTAAAGGAAACATGGGGCTCCTTGGACATGATTTCTCAGAAGTTTCTCTGCATATGAGTTCTTGAGATCAGCCATAGCAGAAGCTTCCTACCACCTCCCCTCCTTCCCCCCACTGACAACCTTCCTTCTTACCTACAGAGCTACCTTCTCCTACATGAAGGACCGTTTTTGGACCTAAAGAACAGCCTCTAAAAATAAAAATAAAAAAGAACAGCCTCTAGGAAGAAAATTGCAGCTTTCTACTTTGAGTTGGAAGTATTAGTGGCTCACACCTGTAATGTTACACAGGAGATTGAGATCTGAGGATTGGGATTCATAGAATCTGGGCAGAAAAGTCAGAGAGACTCTATCTCCAATTAACAGAAAAATGCTGGACTGGAAGCATGGCTCCAATAGTAGAGTACCAGCTGAGTTGTAAAGGCTGAGCAAGAGTGTGAAGCACTGAGTTCAAGCCACAATACTGACACACACACAAAACGTCAGGGTTCTTGACCCACCTTAAAGTGAGATCATTTTTCCCTCTAAGCCTCAGTTTCCTTTTCTGTAGGATGTGAGTGTAGGTGGGTGTGGGGAGGTTAAGACCTACCTTGTGGCTTTATTGTGAGGATGAATAGAGTTATGAATGTGAAAGCCCTTTGAAAACTACAGCTCTGTACAAAAGTTAATTATTATTAGACTACAAAGGCAGGAGCAATATAGCTGAGAAGGGCAGAGTTAAAACTCCTCTAACATTTTGCTGTAGAAGTCGGTTCCTTTCATCTTTCTCCCAAAGCATGGTGGTGGTGAGTTTTTGAAAAGCTGCCTGGGATACTGGGTAAGATCCATGCATGGAGAGGAAAAGGAAGGGGAGCTCAATCTTTTGGTGAGATATGCGAGGCAGGGGAAGAATATATGTGTTGATGGAAATGATTTTGAAGGGAACAGTGAATGTTTTTTGGCCTAAAGGAGGGCAGCAGAGCTAGTGACAGAGGAGAGCCAGCACTGTTGTCACCTCTAGGGCACAGACTTTCCTTGTTGCTTTGAGTTTTTTGAGGGCAGAATTGCTGTGGGTACGTATAGCCTTTACACTATTCTCTTCCCTCCTGGACTTGTCCAATCCTGCCACGGCCACATGGGATTTCTACCTAGTCTGCACACTCAGGAAATGGCCAGTAGCTTGCTCTAGGGCCTCCTGGTGGCACTGCCTGAGAATCAATCATTAATTACTGGAGGGGGAGGGGTTTCTAAATACAGAAATAGCAATACAGGTCCTGGCAGAGACCACCACCTGGGGAAAGCTTTTTGGAAAAAGCCACCTCTGGCATTTGTCCAGTTGGGTAGTGTTGGAAATAGGATACCTGGATACCTGCCTCTTGAGTTTTTTGCCTATTCCCTAGTACCTTGGCGGTGTCCACTTGGGTGGCTGGAGGAGAACCTGATTGGGGCTGAGTAGGAAAAAAACAATGAATATAGGGTCTACCAATCTGTTTCTATAGGAACAACAGTTTTTAAAACTACAAATAATCAGTAGACCTTTTTTTTTTCCCCCCAATCTGTTTTGCAGATGAGGAAATTGAGTCCCAGGGATCCAATATGTCCAGGATCACCTAGCTGGTACATGTCTGACTCATGGCCAAAAAAGCACTAATGACTCAATCCTGTCCTTAAGTGTTGGTTATCTTGCTTGCCTGTCTGGTTCTTCCCTCTCCTCTCTTCCCCCTCCTGCTCCTCTCTCTGTCCCATCAAGAAAGAAGTTTCTGGAACCTGGGAGTGACCAGGGTGAGATCAGACCCCCAGGGCTAGAAAACTTCCCTGCCACAGCTGAGGAGAGCAGCTCACCAAACAGGAATGCTCTCCCTGGGCCAGGTTCCTGTAGAGCAGCAGGAGTCAGGATGCAGGAATCCAGCTGGCCATGCCAGGGCACCCAGTGGGCTGCTTCCTGACAGCTGTTCTTGGGGAAGTGCCAAGGAAAAACCCCAGGCTCAGGATGGGCTCTATTCTCTGTGGTCCTGGAATGTCAGAGGTTCTTGCTGTTGGCATTAACTACACAGGATTCTCTGCCCTCCCCAATCCCTGGCCCAACAAACGGACCAGAGATCCTGGCTGTTGGGATCTGGAAAGAGGGTGAGCACTGGGAGAAAAGATTAAAGAGATTTAAACTGTCATTTGTCCTCAGCCTTCTCTACCCTCTGTTAAGGCTTCTGGGCATTTCTGGGCCAAGCAGTCTTGGGTACTTTTTTTGTCCATTTCCCTTTTGACCTAGGCTTACTTCAAGAATTTACATTTAAAAAAAAAAAGAATTTGCATTAGGCAGGCAGAACTGCATCAGACTGCAGACTATGTAGTTCCTGTGTTCAGGGTTAGGGTTTGGGACTCCATATTCTCTGTTTCAGTGCCTATCCTTGCTATGGTAGAGTCCCCATATGAGGGTAGACATACCATGATTCTGAGGAAATATATTTCCTTCTAATAACTATAGCCACTACAGATATTACTATTGCTATTATTATTTACCAAGTATCAACAAATTCCAGGAGCATTTAGTGCCTTGTTCAGAGCTCTATTAATTTTTTCATGGCACCCAGGTTTTTGAGACAATCTAGAGCCTAGAGGTTGTTCTGGGCCACTCAGTTGCTGACTGGCGGACTTAGGATCAGATCTCAGGCTCATCCAATACTCAAACTAGCTCTCTCCACTACTTTATAACTTGATAAAGTTATGAACAACTGTGATAGCTCCAAGGAAGTTATTGGAATGAGTTACAAAATAAGCTCATAAAAGACTCTCTAAACAGGAGACTGGTAGCTCACATCTGTAATATTAGCTACGTGGAAGGCTGAGATAGAGAGGATCAAGTACCAAGCCAGCCCAGTCAGAGAAGACATCAAATCTTAGCAGAAGGAGCTGAGCCTAGTGGTATATGCCTGTCATCCCAGTGACAGCAGAAAGCAACAAATAAGTGAATCAAAGTTTAAGCACGTCCCTGCAGAGGAATAAGAACCTACCATAACAATATACATTTGTAAAAGTGGACTAGAGTATTGGCTTGGGGTGGGGTAGGAGAAGGAAGAGGGATGAAGAAGGAGGGGGGGATGAAGAGGGAGGAGGGGGGAAAGAAGAGGTAGGTGGAGGAAGAAGGAGGAGAAAGAGGAAGAAAGAGGGAGGAGGAGGAGGAGGAGGAGGAGGAGGAGGAGGAAGAGGAGGGGGAGGAGGAGGAGGAGGAAGAGGAGGAGGAGGAGGAGGAGGAGGAGGAGGAGGAAACCCATAGTGAGAATTGTGCTTCTCAGGGCTGGAAAGGCTGGTAAATGGAAGCAAATCAAAGGGTGTGGTATGGGGTATATCCTACCACTCTGAGTGTTATGTCCTACCCCTCCTGAGTCCCTGTGGCACTTGTGAAGCATAAACACAGAGCACACTTACGCTGTAACAGGTGAGTCATCTGCCTGTGGCCTCTCCCCCGAAAATTTGCTTCAAAATATTCTCACTTTTATGCATCTTTGTGTAAGGAAGTATTTCCTTCTCTTCATTCTAAACTTCCTGCTTTCTTTGAACTTCTTGGAATTGCTATGACTTTAGTAATGTCTGTTTTTTGCCCATGATGAGTTTCAATTTTTTTTTTAAAGTGATTTAAAAGATTTTTTAAAAGTGATTTTCAGGGCCTCACACTTGCTTATCTTGATTGCTAGGCTTGATGCTCTAGCACTTGAATTATGTCTCCATCCCTGCTTCTTATTGGTTATTTTGGAGATGAAGTCACAAGAACTTTTCTGCCTAGAGTGGCCTTTCACTGTAATCCTCCAGATCCCAGCCTCATGAGTAAATTACAGGTATGAGACAACAGTGCGAGGCTCACTTTTTAGATTTTGTTTCTGAGTGCTTTGAGATTTAATTTTTCAAAGTGAAATCATTTCCCTCAGGCTCATTCAAGTGGAAAAAAGCCCAAAGTTCGTAGAAGAGGATCTTTTCCATTGGATCTTAGCAAGTAAGTTTTCATTACATGGAGATGGCATAGAGGATCAAGATTGTGGGGCTGGGTATCATGGCTAACACTGAAATCCTGCACATTCCTGGGCTAGCCATATGACTGGTTCCAGCTGCATATCTCTGGGCTGAAGCTTTGGACTTTAAAGAGTGAGATTTTTCCACATGTTATGGTGATAATTCAAGTACTTGGAGTACAAAGTCTTGAGAGGTGTCATTGTTGAAGCAAAACTGGCTACAATAAAGATGACTGAGAAGCATTATTTGTAGATCTCGCTATGGTGTCACTGTTATTATACCGAGGACATCAGGAGATACTGAGAAGTCTCTAAAGTGGCAATGAAATGAAGGGGCTTGGAAAAAGGAAGACTGAAGACAACTTGAGAACACGGTGCTTCAGGTATATGAGTTGCATCATCCTCTCCATTGGGATATCGGAGCTGGCACGAACTAGTGTTCAGGCCTCTGTGCTCCAAGCCCCTAAGGATACAGGCATGGATTGAATATGGATGTAACCTTGCCTGCCATCCTCTGCCTGAGAAGAGAATTCTCCTCCAAGAAAGTATTCTTTACCTCTAGAAATGTGTGGTTACAGGAGTGGAGACTGGAATATAACACATGTGGCTTCCTCTCCTGCGACTGTCTCACCTCACTAAATTCATCAGCATCCATTGAGACTCCAGAACCTTCACTTGTTTTCTTTCTGCTTTTAATAAATATTGAATATTGTCCTCCTTCTTGTTACCTCAGCCTAAGTTAATCTTTTTATTGACATGCTTAGTATTCTGGGCCATTTATATTTATCATTGAAATAGTGATTTTAGCACAAATACTGCCTAAATATCTTGCTCACTAATTTGGAATGTCTTGGCCATCTTTCTATATCAGAAATAATTCATGAACTATTTTATCCTAACTCCAAAATACGGATATAGTATAGTATGTGTAAGTATCCATTAGGTACACCCACATGTATGTGTATGTGTGTGTGTGTCTATTTTTTTTTGTGGGTCACGGGGCCTGAATTCTGGGCCTGGGCGCTGTCCCTCAGCAGTTCAGCTCAAGGCTAGCACTCTACCACTTGAGCCACAGTGCCACTTCTGGCTTTTTCTCTTATGTGGTGCTGAGGAATTGAACCCAGGGTCTCATGCATACAAGGCAAGCACTTTCTTTGTCAGTCGTGGGGCTTGAGCTTTGGGTCTGGACGTTGTCTATAGCTCAAGGTGAGCACTCTACTACTTAAGCCACAGTGCCACTTCTGGTTTTCTGGTGATTAATTGTAAGTAGGAGTCTCATGGACTTTGCTGCCCAGGCTGGCTTTGATGGCAGTCCCAAATCTCAGCTTCCTGAGTAGCTAGGATTACAGGAATGAGCCACTGCCACCTGGCTAATTTGTTTCTTTATTGAAATTGTTTAGCATTAGCTTCTATATATGAAAATTCTCCTGGGAATAAAGAGCATGAGAAATGAAACTATGGAGTCACCTTTGGAATTTTTGTGGGTGAGTGTATTCTTTTCTATCTGCAGGTAACTAGGGGACACCTCAGCCCCTTCAGATCTCCAGGCTGCCTTTACAGGTAGGACTGGGTAATTGAAGGAAGAGCTGGTGACTGACTGTAGCTTATAGTCTCTCATGATTCAAAAGACAAACTGATCCCACATGCTTGGTACTTAGTCTCTCCACTCTAGAGTCTGTGGAGTTGTAAATTGTGGAAAACACCTTGAACTCCAAAGTCAGAACCACCTAAGCTTGTGATATACCCCTACTTCAAGTTGTATGAACTTGCTAAGTCTGACACCCACTATGATTTTCAAGTTTCCCATAAAATAAATGCATATATTATTCACACTTTATCATCAAAGGAATGAGAAAATGATTTGAAAACTGTTAGACACAGGGAAAAAGATAAATGATGACTTTGAAGCAATCATGATGAAGAGAACAAGGTTTATTGTTCTAGCAGAGCCTTTGATTTTCCCTCTCCTTCCTTTCCCATAGATTCTGTTGTACAAATGATAACTGAATGCCAGGCATTTGCTTGGACTTGGGAAGACAGTAGCAATAAAAATAAGGATGCTGACCTAATGGAACAAACTCATAACCTGTGCAGAAAGGGGTCTGAGAACTGTAGTGGAGAAGAGGGGAGGCTTAAGGAGCAAAGAAAGGTCACCTGCTTAGTGCTGGCTGCTCCAAAGGGGAGCTCTGGGCCTGAACCGGGAGGAATTAATGAGGCACACAAGAACGAGAGGTGTGAGGCAGAATGTTTGATGTGGGCAGAAAAATGCCCAGACTCAATAGGGATCCAGGCACATTTAGAGAACTGGATTTAGTATTATGGAGATAAGGTAGGGCATGTGTGTATTGTGTATGTATAATGTAACATGTTGTGTGATATGTATTGTGTATGTGTATGTGTGTGGGATGTATATGTGTGATACATATAGTCTATGTGTGGTGTGAGATGGTACATAGCAGGGCATGGCATGAATATGGTGTATATGTGGGGGGTGTGTGTATGTATTGTACTGTGTGTGATGTGGTATGTGTGTGAGAGAGAAAGAAGGGTTATATGGAGTGGTATGGTATGATTTGTGTTGTATTCAATTGTATGTATTGTAATGTGGTATGTTTATGTGTGGTGAGAGCCCAGAGATGGGTATGGGAGCAGGTGTAGGGTTAGATTACAAGAGTCCCAATAGGCATGTTAAGGAGCTTGGTGGAAGAAAAGGAAGGAGCAGACTTGGCTTGACTCTGAACACCACAGTGACCTTGGAAATTGTCACCATCCTCATTGTCCCCTCTTCTCAACTTCCACAATGGTGCAAGAACCCTTCATGGTCAGCTTCTAAACAGTAGATGATCTCTATTGCTCATGGGTCAGGAGGTGCTCAAAATGCAATGCAGACCACAGACTGCCAGCACATTTTTGGTAGAAAATGTTTCCTGACCACAATGAGAGGGCACAGAATACATTGTCCCTGTGTCATGGAAGTGTGACCAGGTGGGCAAGAGCATGCCCCATCTGAGCCTTAGGTCCTGAAAATATTATGAAGCCTTTGGGTAGCTGCAAGTACTGTGCAAACAGATTTCATTCTACTGCCTAAGACATCATTAAAATATTATAAGTATCAGGATATGGTTTTTCTTCTATCATTCCATACTTTTATTTCTCTAGACTCAGTAGGGATCAGTAACAGGAATGATGATGTAGCTACATCAGATAACATGGGAACTTATCAAAAGAATGTAAATTCTTCTGGACCTTTCAATGTCCTCAGATTGAGTCAATTTAACTAGATGACATTTGCTGAACCGTGATTTCCAGGAACCAACCATAAATTAAGATAGCTTCTGTGATATGTCTCATCTATGGATGTCTTCCTTGGGGAAGATCCTATCAAGACTACTAGAAATTTCCTTAGTTATCTAAATTAAAGATACAAGTTTGAGGCTCAGTGTGGTAGTCCATGCCTGTATTCTTAGCTACTCAAGAGGTAGGGATCAAATGGATGATTGTTGGAGGTCAGCCCAGGCAAAAAGTCAGTGAGACCCATCTCAACAAAATACTGGGCATGGTGGCATGATCCCAGTTAGGCAGAAGATATAGATAGGAGTATTACAATCTGAGGCCAACCACGGGCCTCAGAAAAATAGCTAAAGCAAAAAGGGGTGGAACGTGGCTTTTGTGCTTACTTGAGGCTGAGTCCAACTGCCAAAAAAATTAATTTGATTATGTGAATTTAGTTTGGCTTATGAATTTCTGATGAGATGAGGATACTTGATATCAAACTGATGTTGAATCTTTTTACATATATATTTTAAGTTTATAGATATCTCTTCATCCTTATGCATGCAAGACTTCTCTTTAGGAGAAGTCACCATTTCAGTAACCTGATGTATGTATCAGTAAAAGTGATTCAGTCTAAAAGAAAAAAAAGGAAGTTCTTGGCTGTGGTGTAGTGAGTGGAGTGGAGGGGGCTTTGTTAATGTCACTTAGCTTATGTGAACTTCAGTTTCCCCATAAAGAAGGAGAAAAATTAATCTTTTCCTCTATCTGTGGCTTGAGGAAAATCTCTTACTGTCTTCATATCACATTTTCTCATTTTTGGTACAACATACTTAAGGTTTTAATTCCATTGAGTTGGCTCTTGTGAACTAATATATGTAAAAGCAACTCAAAACTGATGAGTGTAATAATTCTGTTCAGTGATATGACACTTCACAAGGAATAAGTCTCATTGGATATTATGATCACATTTAATATATATATAATGTGTACATTACTATGTATTGTGTATTTATTGTATTATAATGTGTCATATCACATATGATACATTTATATGTGCATGTCTATATATACAATGTATATACAGGCTTGCAAGTCTAACATATATTTTATGTCCAATTCATTGGCTCCCTAGCTTATGTAGGAAAAAATGGCAAAATTCTCACAAGTCTCTAAAATTGTCCTCTGTCAGCACATGTGCCTCACCACCCACCCTTCCACATCCTTCTTGCTTTTTCTTCTGTACTTTGCTTCTGTTAATTCTATTCCCATCATACTGACTTCATTGCTTTCTTCCAGCATGCCAGATTTGCTTTCTATCCGGATCTGTATGTGATTCTTCCTTCTCCATGTGGCCTGATGCTTGCTCCCTCACCTCCAAATCTAGATTCTGATTTTACCTCAGTGAAACATCTCATTTCAATGAACACCCCTCCCATTTTTAGAATTATTGGGTTTGAACTTGAAGGCCTGACCATGCTAGGCAGGTGCTCTGCCAATTGAGACATACCTCCCAGCCCTTTTTAGTGGTTTTGGGGATGATGTCTCTCATTTTTTATTTGAATTGCCTCAGACAGTGGTCCTCCTACCTACAACCTCCCAAGGAGCCTGGATGTGTGCACTAATACTTCTGCTTTTTGTTATTGTTGTTGTTGAAATTAGAGCACACTAACTTTTTGCTTGGGCTAGTCTCAAATCACAAGTTTTCTCATCTCTCTTTCCCAGCTAACTGGGATTGTAGGTATGTGCCACCACACCCTCTCCCTTCTCCAATTTTTTATTCCTGTCATTCAATTTTCTCTTTACTATTTAATATATATTTCTTATACTTATTTCTTTACTTTCTGTCTACTCCAGTAGGTGAGTTTCATTAGGGCCAAGATTTCTTGTTGGTTTCATCTACTTCTGAATCCTCAGTTCCAGGAACTGCTCTCTCTCTCTCTTTCCTCCCTCTCTCTCCATATATATATATATATATATATATATATATATAAATATGAATGTTTCATGGAATGAAGGTGAATAACAAAGGTGACACAATACCCTTATTGTGATGCTGTAGCACTAGGCACTGGGTATACAGCAATTAACAAGATAATCACTGGACTGAAGTCACAGCTGGGCATGGCCTTTACTTTTCTTGGCAGCGAGTGGTAGAAGCAGAAACTAAGCAGTTCTTAATTTTTCACTTGGGGATGCTGCCGACATTTCTCCTATTCTTTCTTTTGAGTCATTGAGGACCTTTTGAGTAGACTCTGGGTGGAGGGATTGGGCACAGGATATGGGCAGGGTCAGGTAGTAGCCCTCATCAGGGCATAGGGATGGTGAGATACAACTAGACCTCTCTCCTCCTCTCTGATATTTAGTCCTACCATTGAAGATAATAAACCTCTGGGCAAAGGTTATAGCACCTGCTGCCAAGGGAACATGTGACCACTGGAGCATACTTGCTTGGAACAATCTGCACAATCAGGTCATTGTGCTAAACATACTGGTCTCCATGCCAAGACACGCCCTACTCCAGCACTTCCAGGCCAGATTTACAGGGTCCTCAAACAGGGAGAGGGATAGTGGTCCAAATGACCGTGGGAGAGTGTGAGAGCTTTCCAGAGAAGTTTATTTACTTTCGCCTGTTTTGAGATCCAGGGTAAAGTAGACAGCAGAAGTAAGAAACAAACTGTTTCTTCCTAGACAAAATCATTCCTGTTTGGGTGTTGGTAGCACTTTGGCCTTGACCGTTGTCCTCCAACATTTGCTTTAAGAAGCAAAGACTGATGAGCACTCTTTTTTTTTTTTTTTGGTCCAAAGTTTTTCCTCATGTTGTGACAGATCTAGAAACTCCCATCCATTCACTATCCATTCTGGAAGATGGCCTTTCATCACAGAGTTGGTCCTTAGGCCACTAGACAAGGTCTGGTTGGAGAGAAGGTTGTTAAAATGATTGGGGTCTATTCTGTGAGCACTAGATCTGAGTTAGATGCTTTCTACCATTTTGACTATTCTTGGTCTTTATCCCAAGGAAAAGGTTCCTATGACCTTTGAACTTTGCAGTTGTACAATCAATCTTAGAGATTCATGCATGACATGAGGATATTAGGACACCTTCTTTCCTGGGGCTGTGAAATGCTAAGACACATGGAAAAGGGCTATTGTATAAAGGTTCTGCAACTTTTAGGGATGACAATGATGAAGAAGACATAGAGAATGCTTCCTCCTATATGTTGTCCTTGGCTTTACTGCTAAGAATTTCTAGCACAGCATCAGCTTAAATGACCTAACACAGCCAAGGGAGACCCGAGTCTCTCACTTGCCTGGTCACCTAAAGTCATTTACCTTCTCCTTTCTTTCCTGTTCCAGACAGAAAGGCTGGTCACTTCTAGACACTCAGATGTGATACCCAATTCACTTGGGTCAGGATACCTGCCATCCTCCTCTACTGTTATAGGTAGGTGGAATGGAGTAGAGGAAGGGGGCACAGGAGAAGAACTCTGAGGACAAGCAGAGCTCCAGGGAGGTATGGGGGAAGGTCAGAGCCTCTCTCTTCCTCTCTGCTTACAGATATAACCTACTTGCTCCAGTTTCCTTCTTCCACTGGCTGGGTCTCTAGGTACCTTCCTTTAATTAAAAGTATTTTACCTTCTGCCACATTGACCTTCATTTGCATGAGTTCCTTGTCTTTATGCAGCCTCAATATCAGAAGGAGCCTTGTGGTTAACCGAGCATCATCCTGACTTGGTCCCAGAGTACCTGCCCTAGCAAGTGTGCCCTGGTTCTCCGTGCTGTACCCAGGGACATCATTCTGTGCAACTGGCACTGCTGGCACAGAGCTGTCTGAGAACTGCCAGACATTTGCCCTCTACACAAGATTGGGTGGATTCAGATGTTTCCTGTGTCCCCAGATAACCATTAGATCCTTGTGAATTGGGGAACAATTACTTTCCTCAACGAGAAACTGTTCACTTCAGTCACTATTGCTTGACATCCTGGTCTAGTCTGCTTCCATTGAGCCTACTGGGGTTTTATCTTTGGAAATGAAGATTGTAGCTCTCAGAGAAAAGGAGGTTAAAAAACTTTTGTGCTGCTTAGTTACCTCAAAAATACTCATCACAGACGCTTCTTCAGAAACATTTTCTAAATACCCCTTTGTCATAATTCACCTATGCAGTGTGCTGGGGTTGACTGAAAGGCTATCTTCTTAGGTGGCATTAATAGTGATATCATATCTAAGAAAAAGGTGGTGATTTTCTTTCTCTGCTTCGTGTGTATGTGTGTGTGTGTGTGTGTGTGTGTGTGTTTGTGTGTGTGTGTGTGTTTGTGTGTGTGTGTGCTGTTACTAAGGTTTGAACTCATTGCACACTTTACTTTTATTCTGCTCAAAATTGGTGCTCTTCCACCTGAGCTACAGCTTCATTTCTGGCTTTTTGCTGGTTATTTTGAGATTTAGAAGCTCTTGGATTTGTCTGCCCTTGCTGTCAAACTGAAATTCTCATATCTCAGCCTCTCAAGTAGCTAGGATTACAGTATGGGCTACCCAATTTCTAGGATTACAGGCATGGGTTACCATCACCCAATTCCCTGCTTCTTTTGAAACACATCACACTTGGGTTATGTGTTCAGTACAATATGAAAAAAAAGACTGAGCATCAAGTTTGGGACAGTTGGTCTGTCTGGCATTAGAGATTACCTATGGGCATTACCTTTGGGAAGGTAGTTAATGGCCTACTGCTAAGAGTATTTTTTTCAAAGGAGGCTAGGTGCTGGGGATGCAGAGAAGATGAGCACTTTAGGATTAGAGGTTCTTTAACCTCACTGATCATGAGTAAGGGGAGTTAAAAAATTATAGACTTTGTCTAAGATCTACTCAATTGGATTCATCAGTTGGAATGAGGGAAATGTAAGGTCTTTTTCTAGTTTCTACAATCCCTAGGCGATTATGATCATCAATTGATTTTAGAAGCCATTTGTTCAGAAGATTTTTAAGAAATCTTCAATCAGGTTGCAGTGGTTAATACTTGTAGTCCCAGCTACTTTGAAGACTAAGGCAGTATTGATTGGTCCAGGAATTCAAGACAAGATTGGACAACATAGTGTTATCCTGTCTCTTAAACCTTTGAATTCTAAATTTTTAGGAATTTATCTGTAGCAAGTATATTTTGTAAACCAGTAGCACCAGAACTATTGAAAACTTGCTTGGAATTTAAATTCTTGGGCTCATCTAAAGCCTGCTGAATCAGAAACTCCAAAAGTAGATTTAAGCAAAATCTATCAGAACACAGCTATATCTGATGCCCATTCAACTATTGATCTGAGCTTCAGTATGTATTCATTTTTATCATGAAGCTAATTTTTTATTCAACTATTGTTAGTTTTAGTTTAGTTTATATTAGAGTGATGGGTTCCATTGAGTTTACCTCCTAATAAATGGTAGCCAATCTCAAAGAGAAGGATCCAAATGCATCAGACCTTTGCCATCTATTAATTCCTGCCCTTCTTCAACTCTTTCTCACTTGTTATCATGGTCCAATGCACATGATCATCAAATTTACTCATACCACTTACAAAGCTATATCATGAAAGACAAGGCTTCTATCCTACTCTCTTTGGACCAGGTGTTCTGGTCCAAAAGATACTTGCCATCTCCATGGGGAAATTTTTATTAAAGAACCGAGTGTGACCTGTAGACAACCTTTAAGAGCCAAGACTCCCAGTCAATAACTGCCAGAGGGTGGTGTCTTTGATGTCCATCAACCGCCTTTGTCAAGTCTTCAGATGACTGCAGCCCTGGTTGGTGGCTGGACTGTAACCTCTTGAGATAGTCTGAGCCAGATTCATCCATCTATACAGTTCCTGGGTTTCTGACTCTCAGTAGTATTGAGCTAATAGATGTTTGGGGTAGTTTGTTCCATGGTAACCAATAGTTAATATTAGACTTTTATTTTCCTTTCTTCTCTGAGACATGATTTTCTTTTTTTTTTTTTTGAGATCGATCGATCGGTTGACTATATTGACAAGATACTGATTGGTTACATGTTGAAGAAAACATACAATACAAAATACAGAAAAAGTTGGTTCCATCCCTTCCCTCTTCCCCCCACCCTTGCCCACCCACCCCAAATACTCATCATCGTGATTTGGTCAGAACAGGGCTCAGAGCCAGAGTTCAGGGTGACCTAGGGTGGAGGGGTCAGGGGCAATGGGGATGTGGCTGTCATAATGATGCTGCGATACTGCTGCCGTTTCTCTCCCAGCTTAGAGTAGAGCAGGGAGGGAGCTGCAGCCTGATGACAGCCAGTTGTGGGAAGAGCTACCTGTCCCTTCCCAGTCCAGGGCCTGCCCACTGCCCTGGACCAAGACCACTCCCAACAAGGTAAGGATGTGGGTGCTCTTGTGGAGTCTGCTCTCCAACAAGAGGGAAACAAGGGGGTAACTGCTTAACCCCCTGCCCCACAGACAAGGTGGGTATAGGAGCACATGGCTACTACTAGCAAAGGAGAGTTGGAGAGCAGTAGAAAGGGGGGAAGTGGGAAGAGCAGAAGATCATATATATTAAAAAAGTGACTTAAGACTTAAAATTGAATTAGTATTTGTACAGAAAGGTGCAGGTGGAATAACTCCCTCCGGTCTAGGATCAAAGTTATGCGGAGAAATCATGGACCCCTCCCCTGCCCCCAGCTGTGGCCCGAGTCGTTGTTAAGTGCCATTGGTTAGAATGGATTCCAGTCGGGTCGTTCAGGCGGAGGAGTGGGGGCAGTGATAGGCAAGGGGGGGCTCAGTTGCTGCAGCACTGGCTCCTGCTGGCTGGGTTGTTCTCCTGGAGGTCCACGCCTCGGTTTCAGCCTGGAGCACCAGCTGCATTCTGAGGCTCATTCTTGGGAAGCTTCTTAGCTATTGCCATGAAAATTTCATTCACATTCATTGCAGTCTTTGCTGAAGTCTCCATGAACAGTAAACTGTTGTCATCTGCATAGGCTTGTGCTTCCTGGAATTCCACAGCTCTCTTGTTGGCCAAGTCTGCCTTATTACCCGCGAGTGCAATGACGATGTTGGGGCTGGCCTGCCTCTGCAACTCCTTCACCCAGTTCTTGGCCCGTGCAAAAGTATCTGTGTTGGTGATGTCATAGACCACGATGGCAGCTTGGGCCCCCCTATAGTACATGGGGGCCAGACTGTGATACCGCTCCTGTCCAGCTGTGTCCCAGATCTCAAACTTCACTGTTGTATCATCTAAGCAGACAGTCTGTGTGAGGAAGGCCGCTCCAATTGTGCTCTCCTGGTACTCGTGGAATTGGTCCTTGACAAAACGGAGGACGAGGCTGGACTTGCCTACTGCAGACTCCCCCAGAAGTACCAGCTTAAACTGACAGATCTTGTTCCCAGCCGCTGGTCCATTGGGTCGCGCTGTGCCTCCCCGACCTGCCATGGCCCGCTGCACTATAGTGGTACCAGTGAGTGTGGGGGCGGGTGCTATACAAAGAGGCACTTAGTGGGGAGGGGGCCTCCAACGCGGCTCCGGGGCAGCAGCGTTACTTGGGCCGGGGCTCGCGCAAGAGTCCGCTCCTCTTCCCCTCCCCCCCCCCTCCCCCCCCCCACGCGGTGTCCCAGGCTCCGGCCTCCACTTCCGAGACAGGATTTTCTTGAGTAGAGGAGTATTTTATCAGTGGAATGCTCATGGTTGGAGAAGAAAATAGAATATTTTTTAGTCTTTTTTTTCAATCCCAAACTGGCTTCTTTTACAATTTAAATCTGATACTAGGATTTGGCCAATGCACACATGAGAACTGTGACCAAATTTCCAGAAGTGATTCTCTCAGAAGCAGTTCAGGAGACATGAGGGGTGCTCTTTGGGTCAATACCTGTTTTCTCCTACTTGGGTTGGTCAGGCTGATGGATACAAGGGAGGTCATGTGACCTTTCTTAAAGCCAAGTCAGAAGAAAGGTGATAGATGATACCAGTGAGGTTGGTGAGACAGCTTTCAGAGTAAAAGGAGAGAAGGCCAATCAGGTCTTAGTTTCTATGGCACACCAGTGTGTGGTGGTGTTCTTTCCATTTGCCATCCTGGAATTCTTCAATGAAATAAAAACCACTCTAGCACTTGCATTTATACATTTTATTTGTTTCCCCTCAGTTCTTATTTTCTTTTACAGAGTGGAAAGGAGAAAGGACAAGCATGCCAAGTCTCTAAATACTAAGATAACACAATGAGAAAGCAAGGTGCCAGTGATTCAGGCCTGTAATCCTAGCTACTCAGGAGGCTGAGATCTGAGTATCATGGTTCAAAGCCAGCCCAGGCAGCAAAGTTGGTGAGACTCTTATCTCCAATTAACCACCAGAAAACTGGAAGTGGTGCTGTGGCTCAAGTGGTAGAGCACTCGCCTTGAGCTGAAGAGCTAAGAGACGGTACTCAGGCCCAGAGTTCAAGCCCCACGACCGACAAAAAACCAAAATGAAACAAAACAAAACACATGAGAATCTGGTTTGGGTCTGTGAAGGAAGTTTCCACTTTCCAAATTTCCTTCTGGGATTTCAAGGCAGTTTTCTGGGATGTTTCTTTCCATTGGCTGGACTCTCCCTGTAATTCAGGAAGGTGCCACCAGGTGGAGAAATGTTTGGATTAGAATCTCAGGATTCAATTTTTGATTCCTGTTAAATGTAGGTAACTGAGAAGATAAGAATTTAACTGTTATGCTCATGCTTGAACTCATTCTTAACCTGCCCCTCCTCCCAGTACACAAAGGCACATTCACACACACACACACACACACACACACACACACACACACACACACACACTACTAATTACAGAGAAAGAGCAGACCCATTAAGAAGTTATTGTAAATTTTTGAAGGACTTTAGGAAAGATTTGTCACAAATCCTCTGTAGGTATTCTTTTGCCTCCTCGTTAAAGTGAAAATATTGAGCAAAGTGATTTCTAGTGTCCAGATCTGATGTTCTAAGATTCCCTAATAACATTTATCACAGGCTTATGTTACTCCTTTTTTTTTTTTCCCCTTGGGGCTTGAACTCAGGGCCTGGGTGCTATCCTTGAGCTTTTCTGCTCAAAGTTAGTACTCTACCACTTGAGCCACAGTTCCATTTCTGGCTTTTTAGCGATTAATTGGAGAAAAAAGTCTCTTACACTTTCTTGCCTGAGCTGTCTTTGAACCTCGATCCTCAGAGGTCATCTTTTTGAATAGTTTAAGTTTACAAACGTGGGCCACAGGTGCCCAGCATTCTTTGGAGTCATCACTACACTCCCCCATCCATTCCTTTTCCACAGTTTCCTTGAGCTCTGTATCCTTTGATGTTAACAACCACCAATCTCCCCAATTTTTCTACTCAATTAAAAAATGTCTATCTTTTTATTCATCAGTTTCCTTTTCTCCCCTGATATTTCCTAGATTCCCTTGACTGCCTTTATTCTCTTGCCAGATGCTCTGACCACTTCAAGATCCCTCTATGCCACGAAGGAGACTGAGTGGAGAAAACTCAGAACTGCAGGGGTATTTTCTCATTGCTGTGCAAATATTGGTTGTTGAGAAATGGGAAATTGGACGGGATTGTCAGATAAATTCCCTTCCTCCTGATGGATTTGACTCACGCTGGTAATCCTAGCTACTCAGGAGCTGAGCTCTGAGGATCGAGTTTCAAAGCCAGCCTAGGCAGGAAAGGCTAGGAGACTCTTATCTCCAACAAACCACTCAGAAAACCAGAAGTGGTGCTGTGGCTCAGGTGGCAGAGCAGTCTCCTTGAGCTGAAGAGCTAAGGGACAGTACTCAGGCCTAGAGTTCAAGCCCCATGACTGATAAAAATATATGTAGAGAGAAGCACAGCATTGCCAGCAGTTATGTCTTATGCACAATTTGTTGTTGCTTGATGGTTAGTTGTATTCGTGAACTTGTCAAGACCATGGGATTCCCATGAATCTGGCTAAACATTATTTTTATGTATGGCTGTGAAACTGTTTCTGAATTGATAGATAGAACAAAATAGATTGGTCTCCTGATAGGGGAATAGTCCAACCTACTATCTATCTATCTATCTATCTATCTATCTATCTATCTATCTATCTATCTATCTATCTAATCATCTATTAACCTGTCTACCCACTGGATATGTATATCTGTATTTCAGTATCTATTACTATATATTGTATTAATTCTGTTTCTCCAGCTAACTCTAAATATAACATCTTCACAGCTTGTTGTGGAGTAGCTGCTAGCCCCAAAGTGCCAACCCTTCAATCCTTGCCTCAGGTTCTGTCTTCTATAGACTATAGACTAAGACACAAGCCTCAGATGATTAAAATATCCACCTGTTTCTAGTGTATGTTGGGATCTCATTTCATTCTCACTTGGGCTCTCATATCAATTCCTTTCAGGTTCCTCTATGCCTTATTACCAACAATTCTTCTATCTTTTTAAAATTATTTTTTCCTTCTTTCTCTATGGATCCTTCTAATCTGTGAACATATTCAAGTATTTACTAAAAGCATCTAATTGCCTCTCCTCATGAGTGAATTTCTTACAAAGTTAAATTTAATACCTCTGTTAGTTTTCTAGAGCTGCCATAATACTGAATCACAAGTTAGGTAGAGTCAGACAACAGAAATTCATTCTCTTGCAGTTCTAGAGTCCTGAAGTACAAACTCAAGGTGTTGATGGGGCTTTGTTCCCCCTGAAGACCTTTTCTTCTCTGCCTTTTTCAGGTGGGAAATGATTCAGCAGCCTAGTGGTAGCTTCTACCTTGGTCTTCACATGGCTCCCTCCCTCTGTGACCTTCTCTCTTCTTTTACAAGCACACCTGCCATATTGATCAATGACCTTCTAATGACCCCATGTTAACTTGACTAAACACAAAGCTCCTATTGCCAAATTAATCTCACATACTCAGGTACTGCAATTAAGATTGTAAATATAATTAAACATAATTTAACCCATAAGATTTCTTTAATGTCCTCACTGCCAATAAATTCTTTAGCTTATAGTAATCTGTTGTCTTTCCATATCTTAACTCTTCCTGCAGTTCTCCTGAAGGCCATCAATACCTAATTAAATGTTTTTTTTTTTCTCAGTCTATAACTTTATGTCACTCCTTTGGTGTACATCCTAGTTGTTTTCCCCTTTCTTCCTGGTCACCTTATGTCCAGGGTGACCTCTGTTGACTTGATGTTCAGCTCACTGTGCACACCAGAGACCCCTCCTGTCTTTCAGATTGCACTGTGTGCCTTGTTTTTTGGACTCTTCCTTCTCTCCTTATCGCCAGTTCAAGGTGTACTTTAACATTGGGACCTTGGTTATATTCTCTTCTGACCTCCTCCCACCTTCATGCTTCAGTGCTTTCTTCTAAGTAGGCAACAGATATATCTCTCTGGCCTAACTTGTCTCCAAGATCAGGGAAGCACTGTTACTTGGAAACCACAAAAGAGCCTCACAAATAAAATAACTCAAGAACAACACACTCATCATCTTAATACACATATGTGATAAAAATCCACCATTTTTCAGCACCTTTCTTTCTTCTTTTAGATAGTTCTTGTAATTCAACACAGAACAGCAAATACCCTATTACTGAACTACATTCCCTAGCTCTTCTCTGTATCTTTATTTTTTTATGTATTGACGCTAGCATTTGTAAAACAATTGAGACTTCTATAAATATTCATGGCATTTTGAATGTGAACAGGCAACCAAAAGTAAAATATATCTTATTGCCAATATTGTGACCAAAGTCTTTAGAAACAGCCTATGGAGACCCAGAGATAGCTAATCTATACCTGGTTCCATTGGCTGAGATTCTCAAAGCAACATTAGAGAAAGCATAAGTAGAAGTAAGGATATTAGAAATCTGGACTATATGTTTGTACCACCTACCTCCCAAAAGCTCAAACCACACCTGTGGGATGATATTTAGAAGATAAGTAGGTGGTGAGAGTGGAGCTTTTATGGTAGAATTAGTGACTTTACAAGAAGAGGTAAGAGAGCTTGCCTCCTCTTAGTATTCTCCCTCCCAACCTCTCACTCTTTCTGCCATGTACCATAGAAAGACACTGGCCACCTGTCAGCCAGAAAAGAGCCTTTCCCCAATGTACGACCATTCTGAAACCCTTATCTTGAATTTCTAGTCTTCAAAAAAGTGTGTAAAATAAATACTTGTTGCTTAAGCCTGAATTTATAGAAGCCTGAACTGACTTAGCTGATATAGCACTAGGCCTAATTTCAAGCCAAAAAAGGCCAGAGCCTCCCTTTATTTTATGTGTGGTTTGTTTGGAATGTATTATTTTCATCCTTATTCTGCATTTATTTTAAAGACTCTAGAAGAGTATCTCATGTGTTACCAGCTTCCTATAAATGTAATTGAATGCTACACTTGCCTAGGTGTTCGTCTAAGTCATAAAATGCAATATAACCTGCAAATGTTGGGTGCCCGTGGTTCATATCTATAATCCTAATTACTTAAGAGGCTGAGATCTGAGGATCATTGTTCAGAACCAGCCCAACGAAACCATGAATCTCTTATTTCCAACTAACCAGCAAAATAGTCTGAAGTGGAGATATGGCT